CCAGGCTCCTGGCCCCTGCGTGCATGCCGCAGGCGCCCTGGTGCACCTCCGCGATTGCCTTCACGCCCTCTTCGCTCGTGAGGCACCTCAGGTATGCTCCCGAGTGTGATCTTTTGTACAGCTGACCCTCCAAGATCACGCACCTTGCGGCCTTACGCCTTATCTGCCATGCAAGCTTGCCGTCCTCTGGGACTGTCCCGTGTGACAAGTATGCTTTGATTGGGGTCATCCAACTCTCTCCTTCCTCCTGCCCTTCTTCCGCGATTCCCACCATATGCTCCTCCTGGGATTGTTCCTTGGTCACAATCACATATCTCTCCTTTTCAAAGTCAGTGGCCGTGGCTAGCTTTGACAGGGCGTCGGCATGGGCATTCTCCTCCCGTGGGACGTGCACAAACTCCGTATGCCCGAACCACGCGCGCTGCTCCTCCACCTTCTTCAGGTATGCGCCCAGCGCCTCCTCCTTTACGTCGAAGATTCCATTCAGCAGATTCACCACCAAGGCGGAGTCAGAGTAGACTTGGACCCTTCGCGCTCCCAACTCACGCGCCGTGCGCAACCCGGCGATTACCGCTTCGTACTCCGCTGCGTTGTTCGTTTTTAGTGACGAAAACCGGAGGGCCACCTCGTGAGTTGCTCCCATGGGGTTGGTAACAACTATACCCGCTCCGGCGCCTACCCGACTCGCCGCCCCATCGACATACACCCGCCAATCCTCTTCCATCCCCTTTCCTTCACTCACCACGCCCTCCGCGGCGAAGTCCGCCAATACCTGCGCCTTGATTGCGGGTCGCGGCGCATACTTGACATCATACTCACTTAACTGCACGGCCCATTTCACCATGCGTCCCGCCACGTCCATTGAGCCCAGCGTCCCCTTCAGCGGTAGGTTGGTAAGCACGACCACGGTGTGCGCCTGAAAGTAGGGGCGTAGCTTTTCTGCTGCAACCACCACCGCCAGGGCCGCCTTCTCGATGGGCGCGTAACGCGTCTCGGGGCCCGTCATTACCTTGCTCACGTAATACACGGGGCGCTCTTCCTTGTCCGGGCCCCCTCGAGAAATGAGGACTGCGCTCACGGCGGTTCGGGAGACCGCTATGTATAGGTACAACGTTTCACCCTTCCGCGGCGCTGTCATGACCGCAGGCGCCACCAATAGGTCCTTCAGCTGTTCGAACGCTTTATCACACTCGTCGGTCCATTTGAAGCGTGTGGCCTTCTTCAGGACGCCGAAGAAAGGGGCGCCCTTGTCAGCTGATCGAGGAATGAAGCGCCCCAGAGCCGCCAGGCGTCCATTCAAGACCTGTACCTCGTTGGGTGTCCGCGGCGGGCTGAGGCGCCTGATCGCCTCTACCTGTCTTGGATTGGCTTCGATCCCTCTCTTTGTGATCATGAAGCCCAGGAACTTCCCCGCCTCCGCTCCAAACACGCATTTCAACGGATTCAGGCGCAACGTGTGGGCACACATCGTTTCGAAAGTCTCACGCAGATCCCTTAGGTGATCTTCCCTTCTTTTGCTTTTCACCACCAAGTCGTCCACGTACGCCTCCACGTTTCGGCCAATTTGTCGCTGGAATACCGTATTTACCATGCGCTGGTAAGTGGCGCCGGCGTTCTTCAATCCGAATGACATGACTTTATAGCGGAAGTTGCCGAAGGGAGTCGCGAACGCGGTTTTGTCCCTATCTTCCTCGCACATGAGGATCTGATGATAGCCCGAGAACATGTCTAGAAAACTCAGCGCCTCATGGTATGCGGTCGCATCCACCAACTGGTCTATGCGCGGCATGGGGTAGGCGTCCGTGGGGCACACTCGGTTCAGATTCGTGTAATCCACGCACATCCTCCAATCCCCCGTCACCTTTGGGACAAGCACCACGTTCGATAGCCATGTTATGTATCGCGCTTCTTCCACGAACCCCGCCTCGAGTAACTTCCCTACTTCCTTGCGAAGGGCTTCCTCTTTTTCCTCCGAGAGGGGCCTCCTCTTTTGCTGGACAGGGCGCGCGCCTTTCTCAACCGACAGCCGGTGCAACGCGATCTCGGGCTTCACGCCTGGCATCTCCTTGGCGCTCCATGCGAACAGATCGGCGAATTCCTTTAGGAGACCCACCAGAGCTTCGGCCGCCTCCCCGCTCGTATGCGCCGAAATGCGCACGCACCGCTCGGGGCGCTCGGCGTCCAAAGGGACTTGGACCTCGGCATCAGCTGCTTCCGCCCTGGGCGTGTCTTCCGGACGCACGTCAATGTTGTATAGGCGCGCCCTCTTCGCCAGTCGTGCTTCCGGTGAGGCTTCTCCCCGCGACATCCCTACCCCTTTCGGGGTAATGAACTTCAACACTTGGTGGCAAGAGGACGCAACCCCATTAAAGAGTGCCAACAACGGATGTCCCAGGATCGCATTGTACGGGGAAGGGCAGTCCACGATCCCGAATTCCACCGTGTGCGTTACGTGGTGCGCCTCGTCCCCCAAAGTTACCGGTAGGCGCACGCGCCCTATCACTCTTGCCGGCACCCCCGAGAACCCGATTAGGACTGACTCCGCTGGCCTGACCATGCTCGGCGACAGTTGCATTTTTTCGAACGTGGAGCTGAATAGTACATCCATCGAACTTCCCGTATCCACCAACATCCTCTTCACTTCACATCCAGCCACCACCCCCCTGATTTCGAGCGCTTCTACGGAGGGCACCCGACACGCCTCCTCTGGGGTTTCGTTAAAGTGAATATGTACCGCCGCGCGGGCGCTCGCTGTGGCCGATTTCAGGCGCCTTCCTTCGTCGAGCTTCTGCCTGAGGTCCAACCTACCCGAGATGGCCTCAATCGTGAGTCTCACGCGTTCCGGGTGCGCCTCGGGCTCTATGTCAAATGGGGGCGGGGGCAGAACTTCCTTTTCCATGGGGGCCTTCCCTTCTTCAACCGGGGCATTTTCTCGCGCCTCCTCCTTCTTTTCCTCTTGCATTGCAAAGGCCCTCTGCGTCCTATCTTCCCCTTTCCTCACGAACTCGTTCAACATTCCTCGATCCACCAGCCCTTGGATCTCTGCCTTGAGTTGATAACAATCAGCAGTGTGATGGCCCCTTTCCCGGTGGAACTCGCAGTACCTGTCGAGGTTCTGCTCGTTCGGGCGCCCCCTCATTGGCCCCGGCCAGCGAATATGGTATCCCTTATCCTTCACGAACTGCAGCACATTCTTCAGTGAGTCATTAAGTTCGGTGAAGTTCTCTCCCCCCTTCGGTGGGAAACGCAGAGGTTCCGGGCGCCGAATGTTTGCCGGGAAATGTGGGTGGTGCGCGACAACGGGCTGTGGGCGAAGCGCCCTGGCCACCTCCGCCTCTTCTGGGCGCACGTCCCTCCTCTCCAGCCTTCTTGCTGCCAATGTTTCCTCCAACATGATCACCTTTTGCACCCTCCGATCTAAGTCTTCGGTCGATGTTACGTCCCTCTTAGACAGCGCTCGGCACAGCTCTTCGCTTGTAGTGCACTCGTCCAGGCAGCACCCTAGTACCGGGGGCTTCACGTCCTTGACCGCCATGGCTACTGACATCCAGCGCTCATAAAAGTCCCTGAGCGCCTCGCCTTTCCGCTGCTTGACCTTGAACAAGGCGCTTATAGTGAGGCTCCGGCGCTTCCGGCTGACGAACTTCGAAAGAAAGAGCGCCGCGAATTGCTCGAAGCTGTCGATCCGCCCCTCCTCTATCTGATGGTACCAGTCCAACACCACGCCCGTAAACGTCGAAGGGAAGGCGCGACACAAGGTGGCGTCGGAGCTGTTGTATAATTGCATCTTCGTGAAGTAGTTGTTCAAGTGATCCTCTGGATCGGCCGCCCCGTCGTAAGTGGGAAGCGCTGGGATGACTGAGTTCGCTTGCTCGGACAGTATGCTCCGCGCGAGGGGCTGTCGCACCCCCCATGCTCTCCCCTGTCGACGGTGCGCCCATCCATTGTGCTCGTCGAAATCCGAGGCCATGTGCTTCGTCAAGTGCCCCATATCTTCCATGCGCCTTAGCGCGCTGGACGCCCCCTCCTCTTCGTCCTCTCTGTCTCGTCTCTTTCCCAGCGGGGGGCCCGCCTCAGCTCCTCTTTTCAATACTTCCACTTCTTTCCTTAGCGCCTCCAGTGCCTGTTCCTGTTGCTCGACTATGTGAAGTAGATGCTCCTTCGTGAGGGTGACTCCCTCGGACTGGGTAGTCTCCTGCGCCCCGTCGTCGACCGCCGCATGCGCCTCTCCCGACAACACAGGTGCTTCCCGGGACGCTTCGGCCCCCGCTGGTCCCCCTTCTCCTTCGCCTGCCCCTTGCGCCTCCATGACACTTTGTCTTATGCGCTCCCCCTTCCTGGCGCGCCAATTGTTCGAGCCCGGTAACTAGGCGTCCCGAACCCTCGCGCTTGATCCTTCCCGCGCGCTCGGACCTACACGCTGCACTACTAACCTGAGTCCCGGAGAGGACTCGTTAGCACTCCAACGCCCAAGTCAGTTTCCTTTTCTAGAGAGAGAAGTGAATAGTAATTTTTAGAGAGAAGCACCAACCTCCCTAAATGAAGTTCACCAACCGACTATTTATACCCGAAGCCCGGCCGACCAACATCCTTCCCTTTCGCCCCTTGCCAGACCCGCAATTAATGCTCCGTACGGCCTAGCGCTCATGCGCCTCGACCATCCGACACTCCGTTCAGAAGGGTCAGGCGCATGACGTCAGCCAGTCCTCCGACCCGTACACTGGGACTCCCCGGTGCCCACTTGTCGCACGCGCCTCGTGTCAGGTTTGCGGCCCCACCCGTCTGGGGCAGCTTTTCCCTGTCTCTGGGCCGACTTTCCCTCTGTCCCTGGGCCCATTGGGCCGGGCCCAATTCCTCAGCCTCCCAAACTCTACTCTTGAGCCCTATTGGTTCAACCCACATGGGCCATGTATACATCCCCAACAGTTTCTTTCTTTCTTGTCTTGTTTGTCCTTATTTGGGCGTGAATAATTTGTCGAAGTTGTGAATGAACGAAACAGGAGCAGCACCAGAGAGGGGCTGCGAATGGGATAGCTATGACAGCAATGTCTCTGTTTAAAGCAGCTGGTCCTGCTGGTGGGGGTTCTCTGTAAGTCACCTGCCACACCCCTTTGCTTCTGTTTTTGGTCTGTACAGAATGAAATGAATGAACGTAACAACATACTCACGAGGAGCACACCAACAACTGGAAGTTGAAAATTTAAGACACATTTTGGAGTGGATGTACTAAACGGTTCCTGTTGTGTGCGTGTGTGCAGGTTTTCTTGGGCTGAAACGCGTCAGGATGCGGCTTTCCTTCCAGGTACATGGTGTTTGGTTTACTTTTGCAGTTAGTTGTTGATGATGCTGCATATGTGTCTTCTTCCGTTTGGCAATGAGATGATTGAACTGGTGTGGACGAATGGTATCTTGTGGCGCAGGTAACCAAATGGTGTTCTTCGTGCTGAACGTGGTGGAGGCAATTGGGGTGTTGTTCACTTTCAAGCCTTTCCTAGCCCAGCCCCGAGATCGAACAGCAACAACACAATGACCTAGCTGCTGCTATACTCTCCTGGACGCCCTACTACGCAACCAATTCTAGCTCGTCTCCATAAGGCCATTTCTTAGTGAATGACCTAGCTGCTGCTGCTCTACTCTCCTAGATTCCCTACTACACAGTCGTTTTTAGCGAATATCATTCTCGTCTCCATAAGGCCAACTGCAAAGGAAAGTGCACTCCAAGCCAAGGCGCCTTGCCCAAAAGGCCGCCATATTTGGGTTTGGTTTGGTTTGTTGCAAATGTAATGTAGAGCAATCAAATGAGCTGAGTGATAAGGGAAGAACGTACTCCGACGACTGATCTTGTTTTTTCCCCACTAGGGAAAAGGAGCAGGTTTGGCTGGCTTACTGTAAGACCAATTGACTGATTGAATCCAACACCTCCTACTACTTCCATGCCATCAAAACAGCATTCATGTGCTATTTGTTGTTTCATCCTACTGGTAACAGCATCTCTTCCAGCAAACTTTACAGTGCTTTCATTATCTTCTTTGCTCAATAATAGTGGGTTCCATGGCTAAGCAAATAGATGATATGTTCGACGAGCGCCGTGGCTCGTGCGACCTCGTCGGAGACCGGATTTCAACTCGTCCGGCGGGTAGAAAACTCAGCCCGACGGCTCTTTTTCTCCTCCCCTCTTCTTCCTTCTCCGACGGTTGTGGGCGACGGCAGAAGTGGGCTCCCGGTTCCTTCTTCCGACGACGATGATCAGAGTAGCGGCGGCGGCGGCGGCGGCGGGTAGCGAGCAGAATTCGCCGCGGCATGTAAAATTGGGGGCGGCGGGATTCAGTTGCTCATTTGGGGATTTAGGGCGGCAATTATTAACTACCCAACCGTAGGCGTTTTCACACTTGATACGCAGGCTCAAATTATTGAGGAGAGATGGGCCTTTGTCTGGGCTGTCTCATTCGGGCCCATGAGAGGTCAATTGTCTGGCGGACCGTAAAACGACTTATCAATTAAATTCAGAGGGGTTAAAGACACATTTGATCACTGAGATTACAAAATCGGGACATGTTTAGTCACTAGAAAAAGTTAATATCAAATTTGGTCACTACAATTACTAAAACTGGACGCATTTAGTCACTCGCCGTTAGTCTCCGTCCAACTCTGTTAGTGAAGTCCGTTAAGTGCTGATGTGGCAAACAGAATTGCCTAATCAGCCAGATATAACCCAACAAAAATAAAACCCGACCCGCCACGTCATTATAACCCGCCACGTCATTAAAACCAACCCAACCCAACCCATGACCCAACCCTTCTTCCTCCTTCCTCCCACCTCACCAAATCTGTTCGTCTCCTCTGACAATGGTTTTAATCTAATTCCTCATACTGGTAAAAGGGTAATCGTCAAGATTCCTCCTGCTGAAGTCCGGCCGAACCCAATTTAGGGTTTTCCCCATCCCATCCAAATTCGCCGGGCGGAGAGAAGATGGGCTGCCAATCGGGGAGTATATCTGGCTGATTAGGCGGCTGCTATGAGCTCCTCTCTTAAACCCAACTACGTGAAGCTCGAGACCACCTCTGCCGCTTCCGCGTTTGCCGCCGCGGCCGCTCCATTTTCCAGGGCATTGTCACTTTTACCGTCTCCGTTCGAACCCGTTCCAGGGTCGTGTTGCTGGGTTTTGAGAGAACCTTGGAGTTTCCTCTGCCGAAACTTCTCAAGCACTGCCGACACTTTTTTGGACTTTGCCCCGACTAGGGATTTCTCGTTGCCGCTCGAGAAAGGCCTCCATAGAGGAGGGCGCTTCATTGGCTGTGTGGATAGGCTCGATTGAGCAACGCCGTCGACGTGCCCGCTGTTGACTTTCTCCTTAATTGGTGATGAGTTAGAGAGAGGGAGGGAGAGACAAGTCTTGGAATTGTGCAGTGATCGGATTGATTGGGAGAAAGAGAGATTCAGCGGCTTTGGAGATACGCTTGTTGAACGTACACGAGGTGTTGCTTGTTGAACTGGCTTAGCATATTTTTTTCCAGCTCTGCTGCCTGGTTTGCTCTGTGCTTTCCTTGGTCTTGCATTTCTCTCTGATGCAATTGTGAACATTTGGGGGATTCTTTGTGAACGTCAATGGCCTCGTTGGTGAAGGATTGGTCTGTTGGGTTAGGTCGAACAGGTTTGCGGGAGGAGGCGGGAGGAAGGACGAGAGCGGCAACGACGGTGGTTTTGGGGAAAGAAGGAGGTGGGAGGAAGGAGGAAGAAGGGTTGGGTCATGGGTTGAGTTGGGTTGGGTTGGTTTAATGACGTGGCGGGTCGGATTTTATTTTTGTTGGGTTATAACCGGCTGATTAGGCAATTCTGTTTGCCACATCAACACTTAACGGACTTCATTAACGGAGTTGGACGGAGACTAACGGCGAGTGACTAAATGTGTCCAGTTTTAGTAATTGTAGTGACCAAATTTGATATTAACTTTTTCTAGTGACTAAACATGTCCCGATTGTGTAATCTCAGTGACCAAATGTATCTTTAACCCAAATTCAGAGTGATTCTTTTGCAATTCATTAATAAGAAGATTCTTTTGCAATTTGCATCAACTTTAATGATATTTTTATTTTTGATAAAAAAAACTTATGTGGCATTTTGCAAAGGTAATATATTTTTGTATAATTTTATTTAGTCACGTATTTGCATCATTTTTTATTTCTTTTAATCACATATGGGAACCTTTGAGTAATTTTTTTATTATTATTTCTATCTTGAAATCGATGTCTTTGTTTGTATTTGAGTTTTTCGGCTTGAGTTTTTCGGCTGTTCAATTAAGAGACTGATCACGTTTACTCAGATCACGTGTATCGGTGATGCGTTATCCATCTTTGTAGATATTGATTTAAGTTTTTTTATTAATCAACTAAAAGCTTACCAATCACACATATTTTAATCACGTGTAATTTTGATGATCCATTTTCCATTTTTAAATGATTGACAATCTTTGTGAGATTTCCAACTATATATATGGTTTTGTCTTCTGCGCACACCATTTTTTGGGTGCATTCAATGCACTCGCTTCGTAATCGTCATTTTGAGCAGGTAATTCGTGTCAAAATGATGTCAATCGTCACTTGTGCTATGATGGACATAAAATTCCATGAAGTTAAAAAAAAAATCATTCAAGATTTACTTTAATTTGAATGATTTAGTGTTTAGGGATTTAGGTTTAGGGTTCACAATTTGGGGTTTAGGGTCGGTGCTCAAAACTGAATGTTTAGGGATTATGGTAATGGAATGATTAGTTGTGATCCTTTATATATCATCATTTTAGACTAATACTACGATATCTTATGACTACTTTTAGAGTCAGGTGCATTGAATGCATAAAGAACGACTACACCTATGCAATTACCAATTAAACAAGTTCAATGAATTACATTGCAATTGAGAGTTAGATCGGCATTGCTATGGACGCTCTGAACCCTCTCGATATTCTGCCGGCGACCGACCTGAATCCCTCAGGCAGACCGCCGGATCCCAGTCAGCCTGTGACGGGGGCAAACGAAACGGGGATGATCGTCACACCTGGTAGTGATCCCGCGACAGAGAACGAGACAGAGATGGTAGTGGATCCGGCTCCCCAAAGGGATACTCCGACCCATCCGACAACAGCCTTGGCGTTGTCGTATGCGAATGTGGTGGTCGGGGCTAGCAACGAATCTATTCAAAAGAAAGAGGCATGGACGCCCGTCGGGGAGCATGATCTGATAACGGGAGTTTTCAACGATGAGCCAGAATTGAAGATCTCAAATGGCTTCAAAGAGAAACTTTGTGTTTCCTGGCAACGAACGCTTGTGGTCCGTGTTCTGGGTCTGAATATATCCTTCCTGACTTTTAGCAACAAGATCAGAAACCTATGGCGACCGACTGGGGCAATTGAGATCATGGCTCTTGGGCAAGAGTGCTTCCTGATCAAACTCAGCAATGATGCTGGTTATTTTCAGGCGCTTACAGAAGGCCCTTGGGTGATTTTTGACCATTATTTGATTGTTTTTCAGTGGACACCGGAGTTTCGACTGTCATATGCTCTGCCGAGATCGATGGTGGTGTGGATACAATTCCTAGCCTTCCCAGTGTATTTCTATCACAAAGAGATTCTTTTCACGCTTGGGAATATGTTGGCAGGGCGATCAAGTTAGATTTCCACACACAACACCAACAACGAGCGAAATTTGCCCGGATGGCCGTGGAGCTTGACCTCTCAAAGCCGCTCGTCACGCGAATCCGGCTGGACGGGAAAATGGCAATATATTGAGTATGGGAACTTACCTACCTGCTGCTTTGAGTGTGGCAAAATTGGACACACTTCGTTGTCCTGCCCTACTCTAGCGGCGATGAGTCCCCCGCCGGTCGCCGGAGCGATGGTCAGCTCACAGAGAAACGCGCCGGAGAAACTGCCGGATGATCGATCAGGCTTCGGGCCGTGGATGCAGGTCACGTGACGATCACGGAGAGGATCACGTTCCATGGAAAAAGGAAATGCTAGCGAAAATCCGGGGGAACCAGAGGAAGGAGGCGGGCCAGAATGGAGGCAGCGAGAAGGGAAAGTCAGCTGGAACGGGTCAACGTAACGGGAAAGAGAAGACAGTGAAGGAAGTGGATAATTCCGCCACATGATGTAAAGGGCCAATACTACGGTGCCGCGGTAAAAAGTGCGGCACCGGTGACGCTGTTTCTAATTCGTCCACGTGGAACAGATGTGGCGGACTGGGTTGGTTTAATGAATATTGATCCAAACTCGGTGGCCCATTAAAGTGGCCCAACCGGCCTCTCCCAAACTAACGGAGAACTCCCGTTGCTTTATTCTGTACTGTGCTTTTCATTAATTAAAGTAAATTAATATGAGTCATATGACTGATATTAGTTTTGTTTTTCCCAGAATTTGAAAACAGAAAAACAGGGATCTACCAGATGAACCATAAGCCAACTTCCTCGATCTCCCTCTCCTGCGGTCTCTAGAAAATCGATCCCGACGACTCGTCCGTCGTCGACCCCATCTCCAGGTAGTACATTTGTTTCCTCCTACATTTATTATGTAAAACGGAGCCGAAGGAA